TTAGGGGGGAGGGGTGGAAAAGAGGAAGGGATTAAAAAGTACAAATTGGCAATTACAAAACAGTCATGGGGATGAAAAGCATAGCATAAGCAATATAGTGAATAATATTATTATAATAACTATGTATGGTGTCAGACGGGTACTAGATTTATCAGGATGATCACCTCATAAGATACATAAATGTATAAATTACTATGTAGTAAACCTGAAACTAACATAATATTGTATGCCAACTGTAACTGAAAAATGAAAAAAAAATATTTAAAAAAGAAGAAGAAAGAAACTGCCCGGAGTGTGGGTATCAGACTTGAGTTCGAATCCCTGGCTCTAGCATTAATGAGATTTGTAAACTATGAGCAAGTTACTTAACTTCTCTCTGTATCAGGTACACCATCTGAAAAATGGGGCCACCTCAGTATTTCCCCAAATGCAGGAGAGCTACACGAGATAACTTTAAGCAGTACTTAGAAGGTTTTAGAAGATGGACAGGCACAGCATTGAACAATGAATCACATAATGAGAAAATTTTATTCTTTTTGGCACTTCTTTGGCCTTTATAAAAATTTTATTACATTAAAAAGAAAGGTTTTTTTTTTTTCTGGTCTTCTCTTCTACACCTCTTTTAATACAGGCTAATTTCCCTTTTTAACAAAGTGAGAGCAAGTTTCAGAGTCAGCTAGCATCTTGGAAAGCAATTTTATTATACAGACTGTTTAAAAAAATAATGACTTATTTTAATTATTTTTTTAATTACCTTCTATTCGAGACAACTGATATCGATTTTCAATTTAGAAGACCAATATGACGTTAATTTTTAAAATATATTGATGATTACAAAAATGTGAGTCAATTTAAATAATTTGAGCAGCCTATATGCTGCCTATGTCAGGGTTACAGTGAAGATTTAATGAGGTAATGTAGGGGAGACCTAACCCACACTGTGCTCTCATCTACCCATGGTCAATGGGTACAATTTCAGTCAATGAGGAATGTGAATACAGGGTACAGCGCAAACAAAAGCAACTACAGAAGATAGGTGTGAGTTTCCAGAACAATGAGGAGCCAAAAAATAGCAAGAAGGGGTTCTTAAAGTAGAAGTCAGAGAAACGAGGAAAACCTGTAGAGGGAGATTCAGGTAACAAAGTTTCTGAGCTATACGACATGCTGATCACTAGAGAAAACCAGGTGTAGTTCCTTTGTGTATGCCTTTTACAATCTGGGACAAAGTTGTCAAAAAGAAGTCAGTCTTGTTTGAAAGAACCTTGAATGTCCAGCTAAAGAGCATTTATGATGGCAGATCCTTAGTCTAGTCTTTTCACATTTGTTCAGCACCTAGTATGCTTTACATGATGTTTGAAAATATTTGCTGAACAAATGAATTTCAGTTTAATGGTATTTTTTATATATTAACTCATCTGATTTACATACATAATTTATATGTATATATGTAATATTATGTCTTCTTCTTCCCTCCCTATTCCAGTACCAGAGATCACACCTCACCCAGCTAAGATAAACTGCCACCTCCATCCCAAGGCCCTGCCTCTGGATGTGGAGAAAGGTCTACAGGTCAGGCTAAACTCAGTAATCTGAGTCTTCACTTTATGCCTTTCCAAAGAAAGCTGCTCCTTCCATCAGCGTTCCCTTTATGTCAAACTTGGATCATCAAAATACCAGATGGAATCAATTTCAAACTGCTATACCCTTGGGGACTTGCTTCTTAAAGAAAATAAGCTTGATTTAATTCTTGGCAAAAACAATTATTCCCAACCTGGCATCCTACAGGAATTTTGCAGAGCAAGTGTAAATAAGGATATGAAACCCAAAAAACCTCTTAACAGCTCCTTTTCTCTCCCATGCCCCCAGCCCTGAAACTTCTTGCTCCTTCTCCCTTCTTCCTTCCAGTCCTAATCTATTATGATTTCTGAAACAAATTCATGGCAATACTTTAGAAAGCTTTGTTTTTGCCCGCCTACCCCCAAGGAGAGTCTTTCAAGGTATTTAGAAATATCCTTATAAGGTTCTTTCAATTCTCTAAGACGGGCATAGGTGTTCCTTTCTTGGAGGATGAATGAGTCTTAGGGTCAGTTAGCTTTCCTTTTTAACACATACTGGCTTAAGAGGACTGTAACGTAAGAAGCAAAATCTATACCCAAAATGGTGATATCCAGGATGGAGAGTTCAAATAAATATTTTACTTCAGAGAGATGCTCCAAATAGTGGGTCAGAGATGAGGACAATGTCTCACTATGTTTCACTACATCATGTTTGCTCTACTGAAATTTATTGAACTGAACTAACTCCTCCTTCCTTTGCATTTCAGATAAGAATTTCCTTCTGGCTCTATTATTTAAGGCTTTGTCCACCTAATTCGACAACTTTCTTTCCTTCTTCCTCTCCTGCATCATCCTTTCTTCCCTTATTACTCTCATCAGGAACGCTCTTATACATCCCCTAGGTGTTTACCTTCTACCTTACAAAATCCACATCATCTGTTATACTAATGTCTCTCAAGACATAGCTCTAAGAGGCTCCAAAAGATCACCCTTTTTCCTAAATACAGACCTAGAGTTAGAGGACGTAATAGCTTGAAGGGATCTTAAAAAGTCAAGTATTTCAGCCTCTTTCATTTTATGAACCAAGAATCTAAATCTCAGAAAAGTAAAATGACTTGCCTAAGGTCACATGGCTCCTTAGTGGGTTTCTAGAATTATATGCAAAATACAATTATATATATAATTGTAATTATATGTAATTATATCTAAATTTTGGAGTTTACATGTCTTTCTATATTTTTGCTGGACAGAATCCATAGCTTTTATCATATTCTCAAGGTAGTAAAAAAATCCTCTTCTAATAAATAATAACCACTGATTGGTTTTACATATATATAATTATCCTTAGCAAATGTCCCATACTAAATACCAGTTATAATAAAACATCTTGACTTCAAGACTAGCCAGATAAAATGCTTTGACTTCGAAATACTTCTTAAAAGTTGGATTTGGCATAGAAAATGTTGCAGAATTTTAAACACACACACACACACACACACACACACACACACACACTCACTCACTCACTCACTCACTCAATGAATAACAGAATTGCTCCTGTGCATGAGAGGTTATTTTGGTTTTTAAAAACTATTTAAATTATAAATTACTTAGTGAATTATCTCATTCTTATTTAAAAAAGAAATTACTTTCCAAATCAAAGTACTCGAATGTAAAATGTTAGACTATAGCATTTTTTCAAATCACAGCTGCCTCAGAAAGAGAAATGAAACAAGAGAATTAGAATTGTTCTGCAAAAAGTTAGCTGGCCTAGATAATTTAAGTACATACTAAAATTTCTCAATCAAAAACCTAACCTTAACTATAGTTATTTCTCATATAACTCTATTTCTAATGCTTTTCTATGATTATCCCATCATTTTAATTCACCTTTCAGAATATAAGAAACAACACTAGTTTCCCATTCTCGTTGACTTATCAAAGTCAGCATTTATTGAACCCCTTCCATATGCCATAATGAGGGGTTTGAATCAAGGACTAGGGAGAATGAATGAAAGATCTTCTCCTGGAAAAGCATACACTCAAAAGGAAGACAAATCTTAACTACATCAAGAAACACAGTTAAATACATGGCACGAATAGTGCTATGATCCAATCTTATGGGAGTGAAAAAGAAGGGGATTATTAATTTTAAACTCTATGTTGGCAAGGAGGAGTGAATCCACAAGGGTCTATGAAAAGGATGGCATTTAAATAATGCCTTAAAGTAGATTTTCAAAATGTAAGAAGTCAGAATTTCAAAGTTCATTTTCCAAGTTTTATGTGGCTTCCTCCGACCGTTGTCAGGATAAAAGCTCTTTGCTTTAATACAGTGTATCACTCTCAACAGAATACACAGTAACAGAAAGGTCTATCTGAAAGCAATTTTAAATATGAAATTTTCATTCCCTGGCTTCAAATATTTCTAAAACGCACCTCTCTAACAGCATGTATGCTGGTTATGTATCCAAAGAACTATTTTTAGGTGAAAATATCCAAATGAAAAGGGAGAGTCACTCTTTGCCTCTTGGTAGTATTTCAATTGTCAAAACTTTAGTATTTTGACAAAGTCCTTGCCCTGATATTGGTAAATTCATGGAAACCAAACTACCTGGAATGCAACCTCAGCTCCACTACTTAAAAATTGCATGATCATACTACTTAGCCTGTCTATACCTCAGCTGCCTCAACTATAAAAGGAAGATAATAACAGTATCCACCTCATGTGGGTCTCATGAGAATAAACTGAATAATTACATGTAAAATGCTTAAAACAACATCCAGCACACAGTAAATCAACAATAAATGTAACTGTTTTTACTAAGAAGAAATGTTTTCTAAGAGCTTATCTCTAACTTGCTACACCACTTAATAAGAAAAAGTTTCCCATTCTATTTCACTTTTATAAAGCAGACTTTAAAACCGTATTTTCTTTCAGAGAAAAATGCCTAAGCAAAGGCTAAATTTGGTTCCTACACAGAAATGGCAGTAACAGAGAAATAGCTTATTTCAAAAGGTCTAAAATATAATTAAGGATAAAACAGACAGGAATCATATTGTACTATAATCAACTTTTTAAAACTTCATCGAAGTTAGGATTGACAGTTAAACTAACAGTTATCTTCCCTTTGTCTTTTGTTCCTTATGCCTTTATAGCCAAACACTCTGTTGTTCCATTTTCTGTGTATTGCACAGAAAAATATTTTGAGGTCACAGACCTACTCACGAATATCTGACTAAAACAATAGTACGTTTTTCATTTTAACTCAACTCAAGAATTAGAGAATTGAGTAAATCTTATTGTCTGTTCTTTCCATGGTGTTGCAATCCCTATGCAATCAATGTCCCAACAAGCAAAAGAGAATTTGGCTAACTCACTTACAGCAATAATGGAAATATGATACAAGCTGTTGATTCTGATATGGACTTAGTAGATGAACGTACCAGAACACAGTAAGCATCCTTGGAAAGTCCTCTGTTCCCAGCATCTGTAACTGCACCACCTCACTGGTTAGTGTGGGAGTTCAAGTACACTGGAGCTCACTGGCTAGGTTCAAATCTTAGTTCTGCCACTTCCAAGATGTATGGCCAGGGACAAATTAGTTAACCTCTCAGTTTCTTAATCTACAAAATAGGAATAATAAATAGGTTTGCTATAAAGATAAAATTAGTATTTGAAAAGCATTTGGAATAGTACTTGGCACATTGTGCTATTTAATAGTGTCTATTAAATAAACATTGCAATAACTTTGGCATTTAGGGTTATTTCCACATGCAGATACGAAGAGGGTCTCAATTTTTAGTGTAGGCCCTCTGCCGGAAGAGTTAAATAAAACAAATTTTCAGAAAGTTTATTTAAAATTTGATTCTGGAGTAACTGGCCATAGGAGCATTATACGTGCAATATTTCTTCAGTATCCAGTTAGTAAATAAAAATATATTTGGATTTGAGAGTATTTTAGAAATGCAAAAATCACACCTAGATATCCGAAAAGTTCATAAGAGGCTAAAGCAATGTCCACTTAACTATTTTAGGAGCTAAAAACTGAAATCATGAAGATATTAACAATTTGTGGTCACTACAAATAATAGTATTAGCAACTTGCTTTATGGGAAGGGAGATCCCTAAAAAAAATTTAGCTGGAAAAACATTCCAACTTCTCTCCATATATGGTAAATACTATAGAAGATAATAAAAAGCTGTATCACTGAGTTTCATTTGGTTCCATTAATTATTAATAATGTAAGCACAGAGACTTCTAGAGCAGAGGTTGAAAACAACCAAACCCCAATCACCCTTTTCCAATCCTAAACTAATCATTGTCTCACATGACGTATAACTATTCTTGAAGTCAAAATATGTCCAGCATTCATTACAGGCCTCTATTTGGATGTAAATCAAAATACTTATAAGGGTTAAGATTTGGAATGCTCAGCTGGAGGGGAGACACACATATCTCAGGTGTCTCCTTCACAATCAGATGTGTCATTCTGGAACACCAGGCTTATCCTTCCAAGGGGGCTTGTGAATTGCTCTGACTACAGTGCCAATTCTTACCTCTTACATGGACCATGGTCATTACTAAGGCTGGTCACTCACTCTGTTTCTACTGATTTTTCTCAAGTAGATACTAATTTGCTCTGTGTATCCACTGTTTTCCAAACTCTCCCTATCATGAATTATTTTAATGCTTTGTTTGGGGGACATGTAAAAATGGATACTTTGTACTTGAAAATTATTATACTATCTGAAGAAGTTCTACTCCAGAACATTCTCCATGCTTTCACATTTTCTTTGATTTGGGAGAAGTGTCTCTAGAGAATGGTATTAACGGAAAGCTTCCATTATTTTTATGGTATTAGAAAAATGGGCTGAAATAAAAGGAGAGATGAGAAATTAACTACTTTCCTCAGTTGAAATTTAAGTTTTGTCAGAACAGATCAAAACTTAGGTTTGGATTCCCATACTACTGTTCAAAGAACCGGTAAAACTCCACTTTTGAACTTGGAAAATTTTGTGAGGTGTTCCTTGTGTGTGGAGGGTGGGGGTCCGCCCCTACAAAGTGACTTGCTGATTTTCATAACCAAGGATGTTTTTTTTTAATATCAAATTGGTGTTCTATTATATGAACTATATACCACCCACTCATTTTGTGAGGTGTCACTAAAAAGCCTTGGGTTTTAAAAGCTCATGGCAGTTATCAATGATGCGAAAGATAGAGTCAATTCCTTTCAGTGCCAGAAGCTTCTTTCTGTCTCTTTGCTTTCTCCCTTTTTTCATCTTGTTTATTTCCTTCTTTCTAATAAGTACTGAAAAAAAATGGCACCTACACTAAAGCCCTGGCACTGGCCCACGACTCAAGAACCTTCCGATTTAGCAACGATCTGGGAGTCAGAAAACATTCTAATAAAAAACAACCAGACGGGCTTTCGCCTGATCACCCAAGTTTCCTTCCTGACGAGATCTCGGTTGGAATCCGAGAGAGACAATGCTTTGCAGAGCCCTGCCCCACTCTGGTCTCGGGGCCGATTCCCAAGCCACCCGGCCAGGAGGCGCTGCGGGCCAGTCCCCCGGGGCCACAGGCAGCCGGCGCCCAGCCCTGCCCAGCCCTCCCCACCCCCACCACGGAGCCCAGCCCCGCGGCAGAGCTCTGAGTTCTGCACGGCCTGCCGGGGTTACTCTCGGTCATTCCCCTGCACCATCTCGCCTCAGCTTCTCCATCCGTGCCCTGCCTGAGGCTGCCCCAAGAGAAAAGCAGCAAAAAGAAGGATGATGGGGGGTGGAGGAGCGGGAGAATGGGCACCTCAGCTCTAGGTTTCCGCAGGCTCTCCTTCTCTGTAAGTCTTCTGTCTTTAAAAGGAACAAAATTTGTCCCCACCGCGCGCCAGGGACACCAGCTTGGGTGAGCGCACTGAGACCATAGGCAGGACACCCAAGTCAAACAAAGCCCCTGAAGCCTCAACGGAGCAACAGCGCTACAGACCCTGTGTGGGACACCGTCCAGTCGAGTTCTTTGGGTACGAGAACGCGCCGCTCCAGTCTGGGGGCGCACGGGGATCCCCAGGTCAGAGCCCAACTCAGACCAGCTTCTTAAGAACCGAGAACTAAGTGCTAGCATTCATCCGAGTGGGCGCAGACCAACCCTTAGCCAGAGGGGTTTCTAGACATCTAAGGCTCTTCCAAACAAAGGGAAGCGCTCGGTGCAGGATCTGCCACTCTCCCACTCCGGCAGCAGCGCCCCCAAATGACTGGGAGCCCCCCAACCCACTGAGCCCTAGGTACTGCGCCCGGGTCTCCACGCGCAAAGATGCTCTCTGGGCTCCACGGAAGGGCGAGCCCGGAGCGCAGCTGCGCCGCGTCTTGAGTCGCCGGAGCTCTCCTAGGAGGTCCTTCCCACATTTACACTACCCCCGCAGCATTTGCGTTACAAGAGTTGGAGATGTGGGGGTTCGGACTACAGTCCCGAAATCTAGTCCTTCCCAAAGCCTCCTCGGCCCCGAAACAAAACAATAACGCCTAAGTCACGAGAGAACCTCTTACCTGTCTTCCACTTCTGTGTTTGCGTCTCTTTTCCTCACTCCTTGCAGAACCCTTCCGGAGGAGAAAACAAAACAAAACAAATTGGCGTGTGGGGGGAGAAAAGAAAGAGAACGGAGCAAAGCGCCCAGGGAAATTGGCTCTGGCGGCGCTGGTCCTGCGGCGCCCCCTTTCCTGCCCACCTGCGCCCGGGGAGAGGTGTAGGATCAGCTAGCCCCGGCCCCACTCGCTCTCCCTCGGAATTACCGGGCTTTTGCCGCGACTAGTTCCTTTTATAGATTCGGCTGAGCACAGCGCAGGGGTTACTATCGGTCAAAGCCTGTTCTTTCTCCCTCCTTCCCCGCCCCCTTGCCCGGCCTCTGTTTTTGTAGTTCAGGCACTCAGCAGAAAGCACATGGAGCCGCGCCCCGCCCCTTAAATGGGCGACGTCCTGCAGACCCCCGCAGGGCTGCGGGAGAAGAGTGGGAAGTGGTGGGGTGCAGCTGGTATCGCCCAGTCCTGGGTCAGCACCTGGCAGCCTAGGACAAGCAGGAAATGGGGGGCTTAGGACTTCTCGGAAGACTGTCTCTGCTACGTTCTAGGCGGCTGACGGCACTAGTGGAAATCGCTTCCTCTAAACCCGAACTTTGAGCATTTTTTTTTCCCTTGGTTAGTTTACTCAGTCTTTGGGATTGGAGGGACAGAGAACGTGAGGCTGAAAACCCTCTGGACACCAACACTTTAGTCTTACCTTTCACAGGCCTTGGGCCTGGGGGAAGGCGGACCATCCTCTGGATAATTGGCTGTTTTTGTTTTCCGCCAAAAACCGACTTTGGTATTCAACAGGCAACTTATTACCTTTGGGATTCCCTGCCTGCGAGGACCAATGAAAAGCGTTTTTGCTCCTCTTCTTAAACTGGGAGTGGAGGGAGGCTGCAAATAACAGAACCATGTGGACCAACCCCCTTTTAATATTTTCACTGTATTGGTCAGCGTCCGAGTTATAAATACACATGTATTTATGTATTTTGGCTCCTATAGGTTTTCAAAGTGTGCTAGAGAGTCACAGTCATGTAAAATTATATAACCATTCCTGATCGCTGCCATAACATTCGAGAGACAGAGGCAAGATTTCAAATGGAGGCCCACATACTTAAAGTTTAAATATTTAAGTCATAAAACAAGCCAACAAACTGTAAAATAAATGTCTCCTACCTTGACAAAGATTCCTTGGAAGCAACCCAGAAGGGCAAGTTCATATTCAGACTCCTCACAATTTGACCTGAGTTTTGGCAAGAATGTGGAGTGGGAGAGCCTGCCCCCAGATCCCTTCTCTTCCCACCTCCAGCCTTATCATATTCCAGAAGAATCTCCACTGTGTGCATGTGGACCTCCAGCTGCACAAGCTCCCTCCGTGCATACAGTTAAGGCCACAATTTGAGCCCAGGTGCATAGGCCAGTGGTTGTGTCAACACTCAAGATAGACTCAATGAGGAAGTACATGCCGGCCCTGGAAAGTGCACTTAGGAGCCTTAGGGTAGGGAACTGTGGTGGCATGGCACCTTGGCCCTGTGGACTGCTCACCTGTAGGAAGAGATGGAGTTTGAGGAGGGCAAGAGCCAAGCCTTCTGAAGCTCAGGTCCTAGGAAAGAGATCCCTCTTGCCTGGGTCACAGGACAAGAGTCTGGGTTCTTGGGTCAAATTTGAACCACATGACACATAACTTTCTGCCTCCATTTTTTCATCTGTAAAATGGCGAAAATATGTATTCTTTCCCTGCCTCACAGGGGTTTTCTGAAAGTGAATTTTGTTCATTTAAGCTCATTGAAAGAATGGCATTGTAAACAAAGAGGGTGTTATTAGCTGACTATTAATATCATTTTTCGCTATCAGCCATAGCCTATAAAGTTTTTCCCATGGTAAACTTTCAAAACTCCAGGTTTAGCAAAGAGCTAAAAGTAATATGTCTGGCCCTCTAGAGATAAAGGAAAGCTCCTAGAAGAGGTGTTACCATTCCGAGTGTGATTTAGGGGTGTGATCAGATCTCCCCAACTCTCCATTCCCTTCACCCTTCACCCACCTATCACAGTGTTTAAAATCCCACCACCAAAATTATTCTCTTCAGAATTTTGAAGTCTGTGGTTCCCAAGAGCACCCCTACTAATGTAAGCCCTTAGACTGTTCTGTCAGGGAATGAGCAACAGTTTAGGTCTGCAGTAATAATAATGATGATAATAATAATAATAATAATTAATAATAATGTGATGATGATGATGATGAAGAAAGGAGGAGAGCCCAAGGAGAAGATGAAAGCACCAGAGAGAAGACAGCCATTGATTCTAAATACATAAGTCAGTGGCCCCAAAGCCAAATTTGATCATTTTTAACTAAGAACAACCTGTGGTGTCTAATATCTGCTCACCTCTACAATGAATACATGTACACACTGTAATTTTGAAACCTCTTTATTAATCTCTTTGATTTCTACTAATAAAAAAACCCAAGAGGCTAAGCGATTTGGCCAGATGATACAGGGATATAAGTCGGCTGACAGCAAGCTCATATCTCGCAAGTGGGACAAAAATACTGAATTCCAAAAATTAGAGCCTAAGAGAATGTGTCCCTTGAATGTCATAGGTTCATTTGTTCCTGAGTACTTCAGTGATCTTTTCTCTAAGTCTTTCAATTCCTGCTAACACCAAAACTCTAAGTCTCTACCCTACGCGATCCTTTCCAAATAAATAGGAAGAGTTTTCTTTGTTGCAGTTGCTCTAGAGAAGCTGATTCTGTAAATGTAGCCTGGTGGCTTGAGGTTCTATTCTGAGATGCCCCTGGCATCATCTAATCACAGAATCGCCTTTCAGGCAGCTGTGACCCTGGAGACCCTGTTAGGGGTCATGGAGCTACAGAGACTCTCAATTTTATCATTCCATCAAGACTTTTAAATTAGGGATTACCTAAAAGGCTTGCTGGAGGTTGCTTTGATATATTATATCTGTTAACTGGTCTACATAAATGTATGTATATACATTGTTTAAAATATAAATAATTTTCATCACACATGTGTTTTTGGTTGGTACATATTCTGTTTTGTTCCTGGAAACTCTGAAAAAGAATATTATAGGAAGTCAGTGAAGAATAAAAAAGAAAGTATTCTATAAATAACTTTCAAGCTAAATTTGTTATAATTAAAAAGACCTAATAACCAGATTTTTTGAGAATTCCTAGAGAATAAGAAGTGCTTCAAAATAAAAAAATATACATACATAATCCTTCTTTCATAAAAGAAGGAATAAAATGACCTACAGTTCGTATTTGAGTCAGTTAATTCCAATACATGGTTAGACACAGAAAACAAATCAAGCAATGGATGTTCAAATTTAAAAAAATATAAGGAGTTGCCATTATTTGTGGAGTAAACCATGTATATAGCATTAGGTTCTCCATACCTACAAATTCAACTTAATTGGACCAGTGCAATCCCCTTCTATGTTAATGTGACTCCCATTGAAACCTAAGCAAGAATCAAAACCATTACTGCTTTTGGATCGAGTAAGATGTTTGTTCTGTTTGTCAGTGGGATCAATAAGTTAGCCTGGATTACAGACAGATACGTTCCCCTGAATTAATGAGTTGATTAATGAGTTACAATTCTTTTTTTAAAGCCATCTTTCTAAAAATAAAAATAAATAAAAGCCATCTTTCCAACCTGTCTCCCTTCACACTCTCCTCTTAAGAGCCAAAAGGAAAGATTTCATCTCTTCTCCCTCCCTTTTATTCCCTCTCCAGCCCATTTCAGGCATACTCTTTACCCCATCACTCTGCTGTCTGTTCTGTCCAAATTCATTAATGACTTCCTTAAAAATAGAGAGGCACGTGGGCATTCTTTTTCATCATTATAAAAAAATCTCGACCATTTAATTGATGACCTCTTTTAAGTCCTTAGGCTACATGATCTCTGGTATTTGACACTACTGGCCACACCTTCCTTCCTGAAACTACTTTTTCTCTTGTATTGCATGAATCTGGTTCTCTTCTGACTCTTCTGCCCCTTTAACAGCTCTTTTTCGGACTCCTCTTTCCTTATATATATAGTTCCCCTGATACTGGTTTTCTTTTATTTCTCCATGCTCCACTCCCTTGGCTTTACTTAAACTCTATGTCATAGGGTCTCATCAGCTTGCTGAGCTCCTGGACTGTGCTCCCTAAAGCTTGTAGAGTATCCAGCAGGACCAGTGGTATTCTTGGGTCAGCTCACTCCAGCTCAGAAGAGCTTTGTGCTTATCTCCTCTCGTCTCTGCAATAAGTGATTTCCATGAGGCTAGTTTAAAATTGGCCAGTGGTGGGAATATTTACAATATCGGAAAGCCGATAAAATTAGAGTTTCTTTTCTGTTAGAAAAGCTAGGTATTAACATTTACCAGCACGACACTAAATGAGGCATTCTGCAAGTAAACCCTAAGCCAGTTTTTTAATCTTCCCTTTATCTCTGCCTCCTCCATCTTCATTTTATTTTTTATTTCACTTAATGACATCATCATCCACACATTGACTATAGGAAATCATAGTCATATTTGCTTAACTTTTCACCTCTGTCCCATTCTTTCTCTTCTCATTCTAAAAAGCATCAAGTCCGTCAGGTCAATCAAACCTAAATATTTCTTAAATCTGTCCATCTCCACCCCTGCTGCCTAAGTCCAAGCCAAAGGTCTGCACTTCTGTATTGCAGCAACCTCCAAACTGCTGTTCCTGCCTTTAGTTTCTTCCCCTTCCTATTCATCTTCGCTACCACAGTAGAGTGATTTTTGCTTGTGGGGAGGTGGGGAAAGCTTAAGCAAACCAATACAAAACCAAAAACTACCTAATCATATCTTTTTTCCCCCTCAAAGCTACCTGTGGTCCTCCATTTCTTAGAGAAAGATACCTTTAAATTTCCTTAAGAACGTCTACAAAGACTTTTGCAAACATGACATTTGAAGGCCTTTGAAGTCTAATTGTAGGCCCTGCTTCCTCTCCCCATCCGTATCTCACCTTTACCCATCCCCATCCTCATTTCTACTCCATCCTCCTGTTTAAGAGTACATGTTGAAAGAGATAGATGAGATTAAATAACTAACTCTGCTGTGCTATTACTCTAGACAGGGGAGAGTAAGGATATAGAAACCATTTCCCTCTTTAGATGGAAAGTATGGGATAGAGGGTAGATATAGGAGGGGGAGAGAGAGAGGGAAAGGGAGAGGGAGAGAATTATTACAGAT